ATAAATCAGCATGCTTTCTGATTGGGATTTTCTGTTAATGGGTATTTTAATTATTTTCTGTGCATATATTGAGTTAAATTTGCTTATAATTAATTTTATTGTGTCCCCTGTATTGAGTTTGCATTCCTAAGTTAGAATGCATGTGCGTCACTTTCAATGAACCTATACCTTGAGTTGACCATAAAGTATACGCCTAGTTGTGGTTTTTCACGCCTTGAAACTTCACAAGCTTAGTCTAAATTTGTGTAGATCTTTACCTAGTATGACAGAACTTTATGTGCATTTCTAGAAAAATTACTGCATGTAGATTTATGAACTACAATTTAGTAATGTAAATTATTCGAATTTCAGGGGACTTAATTCCTATTAATATTGTGTGAACCATAAAACTTATTATTTGAGGTATTCAGGGACCTTCCCAGGTTATAGTGGTCCTCTGACAGAAGGGTGACAGAGTCTAACTCCAGCCCTAATGAGTGCTAGCATATTTAGTGGATTTAATAGAATTGTGATTTTGATATAAGCGTTCTGTTTTGTATTGTAACTTTGAAAGATATTGTTATAATTACATAAAAAATTGTTAAACTCACACAAAAATAATATAAATTTACTTGATTTGACCACTAGGAGTACTTGATAGCTATAATGGTTTGTTAACTATATTACTTAACTGTAATAGTTAAATCAGCCTATAAATTTATGTTTTCAAACATTTTAGTAACCATATGCTAATAAAAGTAGACAAACTAAGTATTCTTACCGTGTTTTGTGTGGCTATAACAATTCTTTGTACGGTCATAACATGACTGATTTTGAAATATTTTTGTTAATTTGTGCTTTGAGTTAAAACTCTATTGAAAATCAACTATTATAAATTCCTAATTAGTTGGATATGGATTGCTTGTGGTCCCTTCCTAGCTCACCCCTTTATATTTTCCCTTGCTTTCAGGTGACGGTTTAGCAAGCTTTGGGTATGTTCCTTTGATGCATTTTGTGTGTAGGAGTTGGAATTCTCATTGTACCCGGAAGTCAAGCAAATCGACTAGTGGCTGCTGCTGGTTATAGTCATTGGATAATGATACATGACATTCTAATTTGAGCTTTATTCCGAATTGCTTACATGCATCTTGTTATTTGGAGTATATCTATGAAATTCATGAACTCAGACCCGAACATCCATCCTCTATGATATCTCTATGTTCCTTCGACACACATTTACATCTTAAATATATATAAAAAAATAAAAACAATTAACATTAATTTAGATATTAGTGTTAAGTAATTTTTTTTTTTTTTTGTTGGTATCAATCTCTTGATATCCAGTTAGATCTTGATTAATTCGGAATCTAGTTGTATCGGATTTTATTAGGAGAAACTCTCCCAGCGCTTATTTCTCCATTCACAAGATTCAAATTTGAGATCTCACTTAAGGGAATTCCTTGGAGTATAATTGATCTTCATTCTCACCAGCTCAGCTGCCGCCTCCTTTTTTCCCATTGCCACCACCTACACAGCCGCCGCCACTCACAGTGGCAAAAAATTGTCCATCAAGGCTTTGACATCAATTACTGTAAGGTCCTGGAAAGGGCCATTAGTTACCTACTTTTACATCACTCTCCTTACTTTTGGCCACTGTTTTCTTTGCAGCATAATTCTCCTGCTGCTAGTCCTTGGAGTCATTACTTCAAAAGCTTTAGCTATAACCCTTGCTGTTATATTTCTAATCTTCTATGCTTACATAGCTGTTGTTTGGGATCTATCCTTTGTGGTTTCGGTTTTTGAAGAGAAGTCTGGGATTGAGGCACTTGGAAATGCTGCAAATATTGTCGAGGGCATGCAGCTCCAAGGGTTTGTTTTGAATCTTGGGATAATGGTGTTGTCATTAGTTTTGTCCCTTGGTTGGAAATTGATGGCCAAGCAAACCGCAGAGATGCAAGTTATTGTTGCGCAAAATTCCATATATTTGGTGCTGAACATGTTTGAGTACATGGCATTAACAGATATGTACTACCAATGTAAAAGGAATCATGGAGAAGTGGTGGAGCTGAAAGGAACAGTGGAATACAACGAAGTATCATCTTCCCCACTTATTGCTGTGTGACAACTGCATAGTTCTTTATGTTTTTTCTAAAGGAAGTTTTCACACAGGACACACAGAGCCGTGATAAACAGAAGCATGGTATAATTGGATTTACAGAGTCAAAAAATTAAAGTTACAATAGAAGGAAGCACCTCCCTGTGAATCAGAGTTACAGACAGAACATGTAAAGAATCTTGAAAGAACTTACAAATTGATGAATGAAAATATGAATGGAGTGCACAAAAACTATTTAGACATCGGATTTTACACCTAATTCATAGCTTGCCTACTTTCTTCCTCTTCAGCTTTTATCCAAGCAGCCTGATAACAAACAAATCCATTAAGACACAAAAACAAATAACATCTCACATATATCACTGAAAATTTCCAAAAAGAAGAGGGAAAAATAAAAAGGAAAAAACATAGCTAGCAAACTCAATAATAACTTGCCTTGTCCCGTTCCAGTTTTGAGATATGTGGCTTGATGGAATTTCCTAAGCTTAAGCCTCCCCATGCTTCTTGCAGCTCTTTCTGCCTTGCTTCTCTACGAGATACAGAGAGTCTAATC